ACTTTAGCTGTTGTAGACACGGTGTTACTCACCGATCGAGAAGAAACAAAGCAACCTCGGCGTCTGATCGCAGGCCTCCGCTCCTTGAGTTCTCTCCAGCGCTGGAAGCTGATCCGATATTTACACGGGTCCTACTTCTTGCCTTAAGCCTTCTTTTGTTCCACAGATGTTTTACTCTTTTGTTTTTTATCTGCCATCTCTATCTTTCTGTCGCACGGCTCGCTAATGTCCGTCCTGTGCACTGAACGCTCTCTCCTCCACATCATGAGTAGACACGCCCCTTACTGCTGATTGGCTACAAGTTTGTTTTGCTAGTCGGCCCAAATCAGTTTTCTAAAGTGTTTTTGAAAAATCGCTTACCCCACCTTTAATCAAGCTGTTAACATCACAGTACTTTGTGTTCAAAGAATCTAGTTCCAGACGGATGATTAAATGGCTGTTATTTCCCCGTGTGAGATTGAGGTTGTGAGGTTTGTGTGTAATGCAGGCTTGTGATCGACGCTGAAGCTCCAGCTCACCTGGGAATGAGGGCTTTGGCCTCCTCTGCAGCCTCGGGACACAGATTGGCTAAACTTGCCAACTCAAACTTATGAAGCTTCTTCTGCAGAAGTAAGCTGGAAACACAGCCACGTTATCATTCACATGAATATCATATTTACTAAATGACACTTAAATTAACAAGTACAAGAAGAAAAAACTACACTACATCTACAGTCACAATAAGATGCTTAGAAGAGCATGCTGAGATGTTTAAACTAGAGCTGCAGGATATACTGAAATTAACTCAATATTGCGATTTAAAAAATATGAAAAAAATAAAACGTAAATAATAGTATCGTAACTTAACAGCAAACTAAAATTATTTTTATTACTCAGTTTTTAGAATTAATTTTACAGCATTATTACAAAACATTTCTTATTGTGTTTAATATTTTTATTTAATAATAATCACAATAAAATCTAAATACACACACACACAAACCCTTCAGAATAAAAATAACTACACACTTACTAGTGGGATTAATTTTTTTTCTTCAAATATAGCCTAGCTATTCAAGTCATCTAATGAAAATCCCTAAATTTTGTCATATTGCAATATATAATCACAGGAAAACAAAATATCGCAGTCGTTTTTTTTTCCAATATCATACAGCCGTAGTTTAAACAGCTTTTTACATCACAGCACTCTGAGCATGTAGAACTACACAGTCTTACTACTGCTGCCATGAAGAGGCATGATAAGATGAGAGTGAGAGTAGTATGCGGTTCTGTGTTGTAGGCAGCTTCTGCAGAGCGTGCTGACCTGCGCACGCTGGCGATGGTCTCTCGGTTCTTGAAGCGGCTGAATCTGGCCGTGTAGTTGAGGGTCTTCATGAAGACCTCCGACAGCTCCTGCTCGTCCTCCGCGCTCTCGTTCTGCTGCTTGCGATGCTCCAGTAACATGTGAACCTCCGAGTTCAGCAGAGTCTCTGCGTTCTCAAACTCTGAGACACATCAAGCATCATGAACACATCTCTGCATTACCACAACAAAACACTGAACTAGATTAACCAATCAGGAAATCCAATGACGTGCAACCTGACAAAGCATTCTGACAGTCAAGTCAAGACACGAGGTAATGAGGTAATCTATCAATTGTAGCTCATTTTGGTGAGTGATAGAGACAGTCAGATTTAATAGGAATGAGCATTTTTTTACAGAAGAAAAAAAAAAAAACCTGAAACAAATTAAGAGCAGAATTAACATTGCTGTATATTCTGAAATGTAAAAAAAAAATAAAAAAAAAAGTTTTTTATTTTATAAAATTATAATTTAACAATCACAAAAGAAACAGCAATGACTAAAAAAATAATAATAATCACAATTATACAAATTAATATAAAACATTTATTTGTAAATACACCAGTGTGAAGGCATTTTAGCGTTTAAAGGGGTCATATAATGCGATTTCAATATACACTATATCTATATATAAAGTCTGGGATTGGTAAGATTTTTAATATGTTTTAAAGAAATCTCTTCTGTTCATCAAGGCTGCATTTATTTGACCAAAAATACAGAAAAAAAAAAAAAAACGTACCATTGTCACAGCAATTAATTACATTTGAAAGTATATTAAAATATAACACCATTATTTAAAATAGCAATACTTTTTCTCAATATTACTGTTTTTTTACTTCTTTAAAACATTACAAATCTTACTGATCCTAAACTTTTGAACAGCAGAGTGCGAGTGTGTGTGTCTGTGTGTGTGTGTGTCTGTGTCTCTGTGTGTGTGTGTGTGTGTGTGTGTGTGTGTGTACATAGGACACGTATTGAGACGCGCGTGCTGTTCTGACGCGATGTTTCTAACTCAATCTTCTCACCTTTAGGAAACATGAGCTGAGACGCGTCCTCCTCCACATCTCCCACATGCGCTGCTCCTCCTGCCGCCATCATAAAATAAATATAGTCAATGTACAGTGAATATGAGTTTACCTTCTCCGTTTACTACATACAGTCACATAACTACGCCGCGCACTGTCTACAGCGCCGCTTTGAATGAAACACATTCTACTTCCGGTCACGCGCCAAAGCGAAAAAGTACGAGAGGATTGACGCACAGCGCCACCTAGCGCACTGTTGTTGAACATCTCCCCAGTTTAAATGTAGTTGTAGAAAACCATATTAAATTGTAATTGTTGATGCGTGAACAGGCACAAGACTTTTGGAATAAAGTAGAGCTTCTTTTTATGATTACAAATGTTTATTTCTTTTTATTCTTTCTTTATTTAATTACTTTGCACCTTTTTTGTTTTGACTGTTTTTTGTTTCTGTTACAATGTCTTGTCACTACTTGTTTTGTATATCATGTTTTTGCAATATTGTATGGTAAAGTCACAGACAAACCTCTATAAATGTTGAAAATCACGGCGTGACAGCTCTGTTTCAACTTCAGCTCTGTTGCATCTCTCGTACAGCTCTGGGATGGCAACTTGAGAAAAATAGTTGTGTGATGCTATTACATACCACTTGGCAAGCGATCGGATCAAGTGTGTTAATTGGTACCATGTGTTAATTTATGATGAATGCTGTACAGTCCGCAGGAGCTCTGCTATTCCCTCTGTATTGTCGCTGTCAGTGTATTGGGTTTTGAACCTTGGATCAATGTCTTGCCATTATGGCACTAAATGCCTTGTCTGCCTTCAGTATATGAGAAATGGGCTTTTCCTGGTCAAGCACTATCTCAATTATGTTGAGTCATGTTGTAGACACGGTGTGACATGAGTTTCTGCTTCATCTCAGCTTGAGCATTTCTTCAATGTACTGATCACTAATGCACACTGATGAGACAAAACATTATCACCACTTATAGGTGAAGTGAATACTTGAGGATGTGATGGCACAAGGATACTACATCATGGGAAGACAGCAAGCTGGTCGAGGGACTGCGATGCTCTGGGCAATGTTCAGTTTGACACAAGCCACCAACCTAAACCTCATTGCCTTTATGGCAATGGTATTCCCTCAAGGCAGTGGCCTCTTTCAGCAGGATATTGCGCCTTGCTACAATGCACATATTGTTCAGGAATGGTTTGAGGAACATAATAAAGAGTTCAAGGTGTTGTACTGATCTCCAGATTCTTCAGATTTCAATATGCTTGAGCATCTGTGGGATGTGCAACCAGTTCAATCCACTCCATCTCACAAGATAAGGACATGAATGATCTGCTAATGTCTTGGTGCCAGACACCACAGGACTCCTTCAGGGCTCTTGTAAAGTGCATGACTCAGCGAGTCAGTGCTGTTTTGGCGCTGTATATTCAATGACAGGTCAGTGGCAATCTGCTAGGTTTTTGCACCTGGCATTATAATTTTATTTTTATTTTCGCATTGCATCATTACATCATATCGTTACTCATTTGATTGATTGCATCTATCCACATCAATGTATAATTACACCTTTATTAAATATAAAATTTAAGGTCTATGGGCCATTTTTGCATTATACTGTTGATACAATATTTTTGACTTGTTCCTCAGTTTGTAAAAATCATGTTAAATGCATTTACATAGAACCCCTATGTTCCTTCTCCAAGATGGTGTGGTTATAGCATGTACTTTTGTTTTAAAACACTTGGTAATTTATGATTTGTTCTAAAGGAAAAATAGCTGGGTAATAGTGGGCAGAATAGTCTTTACCAACCAGGATTGGTTATTTGCACTCAGTGTCTATCAACCGGTAATACAATCTTGCAACAGGGGTAACCTTGTTTTAAGAGAATGTAATAACAAGAGAATACTATGGGAGAAAAGTTACCAAGAAACAAAAACAGCAGAAAACTAAACCAGGGTAAAAAGACAATATTTTATTAATTTAAACATAAAGTTATCAGGATGCTTATCCATTCAAATTCAGTAACAAAAATCCAAATTCCAAGTAGCCTTTGAAAGAAAGATTAAATTACATATTTTCAAAGAAGAAATCTTTTATTGTTATAAACACTTCCTGAATTGATTGTGACATCAAGTTTGACTGTGATACCTTTTACCTTTGTCAGAATTTACGTTTGTAAACCCCTTTACAAGACATTCATCTAATCTAAATTTAAACATTTAATAATTAAAGCCTCGGCTGTAAAATCTTTTTGTTTTCTTCTTTTCAGTTTGAACAGTATTTTATGGAAACATATGAAAGTTTTTTTTTTTTTTTAGACAGGTTGCTTAGTTAAATTGAGTGCTTTAAATTGTTTTATGAACTGAACCTTGGAAGTCAAGTTGCATTTAGTTACAATGGCCTATTCAATTTAGAAATTGGACTTCAAACAAAGTATCTGCATTATTAGCGAATTTCAATGTGGCAGAGATGAATTAGAAACAAATGGTATTTTGGTAGAAAAAGACATTAAACTTAAGGAACTGAGAGAAAAAAAAAGTTTAAGCACTTTAAGTCATCAACTCACTATCCCCATCTGGAAATAAAGCACTTAATACCTGAATTGGGCCTCAAATGTATGGGTTGCTTTCCAAACTCACTATCTGATGAGAAATTAAGAGAATATAAATATGAAGTCTTTCAGTTGCTCATTTCATTGAACACGTTAAATTTGTATATCTATAAAACACCTCTTGAATAGTGTGAAGATCAGCATCCACCTCAGTGTCCTCCTTGAAATCTACATTTGTCCTGTTATGTCTGTGTTCTACTGACTGATCTAGTATTTGTCATCTTCTGCATCGCTGAGAGTTTCACCGCCAGCGAGAGATACGCTCTGTGCCAATCTCTTCCGGAAGTGTCCGTTGGGCACCTGCCAGCCTATCCGTGACCTTGTGCGCATTGAGGCGCTGACCGTGTTCGCGCGGCCTAGGCTGGTGGCCACCGCTGCCTCAAAGGTAAGAGTTTCCATAGGAGCGGCAGAATCGGGGCTGTGCTCTTCCTCTTGTAGGGCGAGGAAGGACTCGGAAGGATAGCGGCGTGAGGATGAACCCAGATATTCACCCACTTCAAATTGGGTAGTTTCCTGCTGTCTCGCTTCCTGGTCTTCAGCACCGTCATCCCATAAAGCAGTACTACAGCACCCTATCATCTGCTGGACAGTTGCGTCATCGTTGTCATCATCAACAACGTGTGATGAAGGTTGCGTGTGGCACGCTAAGGGTGAGTAAGAGATGTGAGGGCGTGAGCAGGTGGAGGTCTGGGACAGGCGACGCTTGCCACTCGGGGTGCTGGACTCTGAGGTGGAAGGAACAGGGCTTTCTGAGCTGTTTTCCTGCAGAGAAATCAGATTTCAAGTATTTAATCCAATTAATGTCATATTTAAACTTAAAGGGTTAGTTCACCCAAAAATGAAAATTAGCCCATAAATTACTCACCCTCAAGTCATCTTAGGTGTATATGACTTTCTTCTTTCAGACGAATCCAGTCGGAGTTATATTAAAAATTGTCTTTGATCTTTCAAGCTGTTTAATGCCACTCAGCGGGTGTTGCATGCTTCAGTCCAAAAGAAGTTAAATAAAAATCGCCCATCCATAAAATAAATGTCTCACATGGGCTAATTTTCATTTTTGGGTGAACTAACCCTTTAAGATATAGTAAAATGGAAAATCCATCTTAAGCTGGTAGTTGGTTTCTAGATGATCTAAGATCACAGGTTTTCCTAGTATTCTTGTGAGTGATTCCAGGTTGCTGTCTTTACATCATCGTCAAGGTATAACAAGGTCCTTCATGTGGACATCTAAGACAGTGGTTCTCAAACCTGTCCTGGGGACCCCCAACCACTGCATATTTTGTATGTCTCCCTCATTTAACACACCTGAATCAAAGACATACAAAATGTGCGGTGGTTGGGGGACCCCAGGACAGGTTTGAGAACCACTGATCTAAGATACGGTGAAGCTGTGAGAGATCGTGTGAAAGAAGCTGGTTTGTTTACCTGTCTGGTGACCCCATGTATGCGCTCCTCACTGGGAGAGCGGGAACGGGATTTTGAGTTTGAGTTATCCGGGGAAAGTAAGAACCGTTGTTCTTTTGGTCGTCCTCGCACCTTTTCCATGTACTGTGTCTGGTCTGAGTGGGACACTGTAAATTGTGAAATAGATGTTATACATCACATAGTCAACATGCAGTAGGTTAACTACAGCACTCAATGAGATTTAGCTATTAACAAGGGATTTCATATCTTGTACTGCATGTGTTCTCATGGGGATTCTCATAAAAGCATATGACTACAGAAGTGTTCAAGCCAAAGCAGAGCAAAGGGTAAGTTATCGTGCTATATGTGTATTGTATGTGTGATAGAAAGGTTAAATGCTCATATTTTCCAATATATATGAAGTAACATGCTGTAACTTTCAGAACTTCCTCCTAGTCCTCTAAAGTGTTTGACGTACGCGCATGCATTTTATCAGCTCTTGTCTCTTGCATGGTGACTCATTGCACAAGCGTTGGCTGGTGTATGTGTGTATTCGGGAGTTGAGCCGTGTCTTTTCACTTCATGAGGAAAATGCAGTAACAAACCTGCAGCTTTGTAGCTCTTGTGTCTGGTTCTGAATGCATGTTCAGGTGGGCGATCATCCCCCCACATGCCATTCAACCCTGATTCATCAACCTGTGCATCAGCATCACATTAGATACAGTCAGTCTATAACTCATCCTTCTATAGTTTACTTTTTACTATTTGTAATACTATATGATTCAGAATATCTATTCCAAGAAAATTATTTGTTTTCGCTTCTTTAATTGTTAACCCCCTGATAACATACTAATGTGTTGACTAACCCAGAAACCAGGTGAGAAGAATTTATTTAACCTATCAACTATTTACATTTTTTGGTACCTGAGAGACGTCTTCACTGCTGTCTGTACGGTGGGTCACGGGCTGCAATAACAGCTCCTGTGGTGATATTGGGCTTAAAGCCACAAACCCTCCACTTGTCCTAGAACACAGAACCACATCTTTAATACATACACAATACTGTGCGTGAAACCTTAAACACTTATAACGTAAGTCACTATGCAGTATACATAACAGTATAATTTGTAACATGTTTATATGCTATTAAGCAGCAATGATATAGCACACATTTGTATTGTGCCATATACTCACAAAATCAAGCATGAAT